CCAAAATTGTAATCGTTGCCAACAGTATTAAAATAAGTTAAAAATCACCATTTTTATGCTCAATTATCTCACTGTTTTAGTATATACTAAAACAATTATTCACCTCAGTGTCGGTGGCTAGTGATGGATATTTACCTCGCTGCTTCGTGTCTCGGTTAATTTGAACCACTAGCCACCTCCACTTCGGCCTCTTTGTAGTGGCGTCATAGCGGTTCCAAGTGGGCCAAAATCCCATGCATTCATTGTAATTTTAGCCCTGTCTATCCCCCAGCCAAGATGGCGTCATAAACTATGAAAAGGTCTGTGGGGCCAAGAGAAAAACAAACAAACAAACAGACAATAAAAAAGAGAACAAAGACCATTACCCCGGCTTTCAAACAGATTTATTTAATTATTTGCCTTACTCTATGGACGTGAATAACAGCTGTGATCATCCCTGGGTATTAACTGAACCCTACAATCCAATTAATAACGTACAAAAGTATACAAATATATAAATTCTTACTGAATTCCCGAAGAGAAAAGTTACTTGTTTTGACGAGAATCTCAATGCTCTTTTTCTCTGAGGTGGAGCCGAGGGAAACATTACTGAAGCTTCGAAGGAAATAAATTTGACTAGTTTTGCAAGGGACCAGTCCCTGAGCGATTTGTTATACAGCCCACGACGAACGGTTTCTACGTGTACACTAATTACTGGGCTGCCTGTGCGCCCAGTCATAAAATGGGCTTTCGGTCGTCGGTGTCAAAAAGTGGTCTCCCGGGGGAGGGAAGACACGAGGGTCTGGTACCGAGAAACGATGTTCTCACAAATGGTTTCATATGAGTTACTCTTGCACGAGCCCTTGCACGGATACTTTTTGTACCTCGTCTGCGCGCCCCCTGAAAAACCCACAAAGCGTTGCGAACCTGAAGAAGGCTATTTGCGTTGTTCGAAGCGATTCGATCATGGGAGTCACTCTATAATTTTTTTATTGTTCGAGTTTAAGTCAGTTAGATGATGTTGGCGCTGAGAAACTCAGAGAAATGCTCGCGTTGCATTCAAACCGACACGCTGTTCACGGTAGGTTCACACTAAAAGATGACTGTGAGCCTCAGGTTTGGAACGCCGTGGCCGCTTCGTGAACTCAAAGAGAGAATTATCGATCGATGTAGTACATGAGCAATTAAGAAGCACAATTTATGAGCAAGGTATTTCACCAGTTGACGACACTATGGCTGAAGCCTTGATTGTAAGCCTTCGTAGTCAGTGAAGCGAACAACTCAGTTGCCGATGAATGGCACTACGCACGTCTATGAGCGAGGGACGTGACAGTTTTGCCATGTTAGAAGACTGGCTTTTCCTTTAAATATTTCCTTCTATTTAATGCAACACACGCCACTTTGGAGGTCTAAATTTCGGATACTGAGGATAAAGAAGACACGGACAAAAATAGGGACTCTGAGAATTTCGCGCACAATGCACAAGTTTAAAGCGTCACCGGAACATCCCATCCGGGAGCTTCACAGAGAGCGACTTGAGGGAAATAGGAACTATTACTGACAAGGTTTGGTGACTGAGTAGAGCATACAAGTGTAGCCCACGTCGAGGTTTCAGGGGGTTTGCTTTTGTTTGTATTTGTATCGTGCTAAGCTTTTATCATTAAATTTGTACATGATCTTGTGATCACAATTCTGTGTTTTCGCCCATTCAGCAAGCACGCTATATTGATGTCATCATTAGCGAGTTTCAGAAACATGCCTTTGAAAGTTTTTTAGCTCTCGTGATGTTTCTTGATATTTCTTTTACCATTTTATGAAGATGTTAACTGAAGTCACCGCAAAATGGAAACTTAAAAAAGCGTATAATCCATTTATCTCGAAACATAACACACAATTGACTTATACGACCTTTATTTTCGTCAAGGTGTTTTGAATACGAACGAACACAGTCAATGTGAGGGGCAAAAACAGCATTAATATAAATGAACCATAGGGTTTTAACTAATATAAGGGTCAATTATTGTGCATTGAGATGAATCGCTTGAAAAGAGAGACTTCGCTTGAAGATGTTCAGTCTTTTTAATATCCAAGGAGTCACTGTGAATAGTGTTTCCATATTGTTTAGCTGGCACAAAAACGTCGGACGAGTTATAAAGCGGCATAGTTATCTTCCATGAAGAAAAGTTCGTCTTGGGTGAGACAAACAGAACTGGAGCGAATTTTTAACTCGCATCGGTATCAGGTAAAAAATATGTTATCGATCGTTTCATCTATTTACATTGTTTGAAGTGCGTGCTGGTGAACGCAACATGCGAGCGAGAAGTCTTTAAACTTTTTTAGGTCTCAAAATGCAAAGGATTTTATTCCTTTAAGTTAGAGAAAAATAACATGAGGAAAATCTAAAAACTGAATATTTTTCTTCTTGTGGAAAAAATAGTGCGTTTTCTTGTAGACTGTGGACCGCAAATTAGGATCGCACTTTTCACAAACATGCGAATTCCGAAGTTCAGAAGCCAACCGACGATTGCGTTTTTCGCTGCTGTCAATCATCTTAACGGACCTCTTAGGAAACAAAACTCTACTTCACGGGTTCAAAAGGTCATGGTTTGTGATTTGTTGATTTCGATCCGTTTTGTGTGTTTCTCTGTTTCAAGGTTCGTTGCTTTTGATCGTAATTATGATTGACGGCAGCGATAAACACAATTGTGAAGGTGGCTTTTGAACTTTAGAGTTCGCATGTTTGTGAAAAGCGCAGTAAAGTCTCCGTGCAGTCAGTGAGGCCCCTGGATCAGGCGGGATCAATGGGCAGTTAACTGTCTGTTTTAGTATACTTCGGGTTTTCATATAATACAATATTTCTGTCTAGTGTAAATCAGCTCATTATACTCGTAGAACGACAACAATTTTTGGAATTTCCAGTTACGTCACGTTATACTGTCACGCTATATTTTGGGGCACAGAGGGATTAGGGGAGGGGTACGTGGAAATAATGGAAATTGTTTCCTGCTTAGAATTAATGGCTAACTTGTCTATTTTATTCATAGTGGTGGAATTTAAAAGTTATTATACAGCCCCCACTTAAAAATGGTACTCTTTTTTTGGGGTTACGAAAGTCTTTCAAAAGGGTACAATGTTTTGAATGAGTTTATGTTTCAGTCTCACATGAGGTTCTGTCGCATGCAATGGTTGCCGACAAGGTTTTATGGTAGCCTGAGTTTGTATAGCCGCCCCCTCCCCTCAGAAAAAATAGCCCCTTGGCAGCCCAATTAAAAATCGCCTTTCGGCGATTCTTGTTTTATTAAAATTAAATCTCAGCAAGTGATCAACATTCGCGGGTATAAACAGTGCACTGTTATTCTACGACGTCATAGATTTTGCAACGCTTCCCGCTCAGAGAGTTTTGGCGGGAAAAAGCTTCTTTTTGGTTAGATCTCAGGTAACCTCGAAGTAAACAATGTCAATAAGGAATTTTTATCCAAACGGCGTCATAATGACTTATTTCAACTCTAACAATGCTATGCACTTTAATGAGGTAAGATATCCAGGCGCAATGAATTTGGTCAAAATGCTGACTAATGCTATTCCTTCTCTCTGGTTCTTCAATGACATCGTTTGGAATTATGAGTCAATATTCGTAACAGTTACAACAACTGAAACAGCCTTAAAATACGGAAATGTTACAACAGTTGTGACCTCCAAAAAAAGTTGGTTAGATATTTTTAGTTTATTTACACACCAAAAAAATTACGTTTAAGGTCACTGAAAATGCAAGAAGGTTGCCACAGCACTAATCCGAACCAAATCTCGTTACTCAGACATACACATAAATATCTAAGATACAAATACAGAACTTTTAAATCAACCATCGAGTGTTACAAAAGTCATGTTGGTGCAGATTGCGGTTTTTGGGTCTACATTGTCATCTTGGCCTTTTCAATGAGCTCTCGTCCAATAATCATGCGTTGAATTTGCGCCGTTCCTTCGTAGATCTGAAAGAAAATGGAGCAAGGTCAGAGGCACGAGGCGCTAGAAATTTAACTGCTTGTTGTGACACAAACACTGTTGGCACCAGAGCTACAACAATCCTACTTAAACGTAACAATAAGATTCCAAAGCTCAGAGGGGTCCACTGTAGCTTTCTTGCATTCAACTAAATAAAACACAGAAAAACGTACCTCTCACTTTAACAGCAAGACACTTTCGTAACGCTTGCTTGGATTTTGCAATAAGCTAAAAGTCTTGTCTTCACTCAGAAGCACACAGTGCAGGCACATTAAAATCCACTTTCGGGTTTGTGACTTTGAACATGCGCACTTAGAACATTAACGTTTTACGGCATTTACTTGGAAATGGCCAAACGACTGGTATTTAGGACCCTGTCTTCACTCAGGAGCACACAGCGCAGGCGCATTAGAATCCACTTTCAGGTTTTTTACTAAATAATGAACAACGATTTGTAGATTTACACTTGGGTAATTCACAGGATGTGACAGGGAAAAGGGCAGCATCAAAAGAGCGCGGGGATCGGTTGAGATCAGCTGGAATGGTTCTATTCATGATATCAGCACCAACGAGAAATTGACTGCAAAAATTACTATCAAGGCCAATGTGTCTTAAGGTGATGTTACACGAGACGAATTGCAATGTTGGAACAATGTTGCAACTATTCGAAACAATGTCGCAACAATGCTGTAATGCTGTGTTGCGCTAAAAATCGTTGTTGCGAATCGTCCCGTCCAACATACCTTTACGCTTTAAGCAAGCCCAATGAAACACCTCCTTTTATGATTCTTTGTGTCACAGACAATTCGCCCCTTTAGAAACGAGAAGAAAACTGGGCCGAATTAACTTTTGCAAAGACTCCTGGGACTGTTACTAAGGACAGGGAAGGGGGGAAAATTGGCCAGTAACTGATCGGCGTGTCCCCAGTAACGATCCCACAAATCATTGGGCACATTTCGGCTCCAGTTCTCTTCTCGATTCTAAAGTGGCGAAGGGGATAAATGAACATACACTAAAATCTACAAGCGGCAACACTCAGCAGTTGGTCGGCTCACCTGGAAGATTTTAGCATCCCTCATCAGTTTTTCAACTGGGTAGTCCGTGTTAAATCCATTTCCGCCAAAAATCTGGAAACCAAAGGAATACAGAAAAATGTCTCAGCTGAGGCAGAAGCTTGGAAGAGGAAAGAAACCACGAGGGGATTTTGCTCTGCTTACTTTTCTACTTATAAAATATAAAAGGTTGGCTACCCACCTGCACAGCATCAGTCGCACACTTGTTGGCGACATCTCCAGCCAGACATTTAGCTATAGAGGCGTAATAAGTGTTGCGGCGACCCTAAAAATACACAAGCACGTTAGAGCTCAATGGATTTTCACTCATTTTCGTGCCGAGAGCTGCCATTCTTGTGTCAGCAACACGGATCGTTAGCTCTGGCTGGGACCAGGATAAACGTGCAAGCACAGTAGTTTCGCATTTTTGTAACCGTTGGTAACTGTTGTTTTTTCAAAATTCTGAGGATGTACAGAAAGCCAGAAGACTGTGTTTTGAGGAATTCCTGCTGCAGCCCCAACCAGAGCTCTCGATCCGTCGCACTGGCCAAGCGGATCACAACTTCGCGCACGAGAATGATTTTCGCTTTGGTATGGCCTGTGTTGAGCCGTCCCTTTTTGGTGGGGAGGGGCGGTTATACACAGGCTAGTTTGGTAGAGAAATAACGACATTAGAGAATCACACGCCCAGAGGTTATCTTGTTTATCAAGGTAGATAGTTCTTTATTTTGGCAATCTTTGGGAAAAAAAGGAGGGGTTGAACATTACAGCACAAGCTGTACATAAGATTGAACTCACTTGGTCGACCTCCCAAGCCGCGAGGTACGTGGCTAGGCGCGCCGTCTCCACGCCAATGGCCATATCAGCCAACATAAAGCTTACAGCCTGGTGCTGAAAAGAGAATTTAGAAAATAAACTGCATTAATAGGCGTCTCTTATTCAATATTTCCCAAGAGTCAATACAAAGTCAAGATGAAAGGTTTAAAGAATTACTAAAATGATTGCCTAAGGAACAAGGCTTTGATCTTTAATCAAAATTTTCTTAACATATTCGATAAGGAAAGCTATGAGATCAGTCTAGAGACCGAATATGTATATGGATAGCGGGGCTTAAAGCGTTATAAAATTTCAATTGTTGTGTTGGTTAAAGGGACTGAGTCACCGCATTCCAGTTCACTTTGTTTAATTTTGCCAATTACTCGCCCTTAAAAATTTCATGGAAATGACAAAATCAGAGATTGACAAACAAATTGCGTTGGTTGAAAAACTGTTAGGCTGAACACCTAAATTTAATAACGGGATTTCCGTGGCGCAAATTTCATGTAGTCAGGACTCGTTCAAATTCTAGAATAGCATGAGTTTCATTCAGAAAACAATGGACGTTCACTTGTTAAACACTTGACATGGCACTTTACCTGGAATATGGGTTTTCCCATGGTTTTTCGTTCCATCGAGTACTTGGTCGCCTCTTCTAATGCTCTCCGAGCGAGACCAACGGCGCTTGCGGCAACCTATTTGGTAGAGACCAAGTACAGTTCGGTTACTGCCCACATTTTATTTACATAAATTATGAATTAAAAAGGTTACCTATTAAAACATTTTAATTACAACTCCCTTCACTCCGAGGACATACTAAAATTACAAGAAAATCTGGTACAATCCCAGGAAATACAAAACTTTTTAATGGATACACATATTTAACTGAAAAAAGACCAAAATTTTCCTTACCGGAGGTCGTGTCTTGTCAAATGCTCCCATTGCAATTTTGAAACCAATTCCTTCTTTACCTAGGACGTTCTAACAATGGAAACAAAGTCACAACAAGAAAGTTACTGAACTTTAGGACGTTCTTGTAAAGAGATCAGTTAGTGATTAGTCAAGAAGTATTTTGTTGTAGTTGATCTGAGACTGCTTGAAAGTTCTAATCAAGCACGAAATAAAAATAACACATCTTCGTTCTAAAGAATCCTAGAGTTACTATGATACCAAAATTAACAACCAAGGTTTTCATCTGTGAACGTTACTTTTGTACTTCAAAATTTAGAAAGTTCAAGTTCCCTTGCAAATGCCTCTTTCGAAAACGGTCAGCTCTACATGTACCTACAACAATGTAAGACCAAACCCAATTTTGGGTGCCAGGGGTGTCTCACTGTGTAACGATTGACCAAACATGCAAGAATATTCACAATAATTACAATGCAATTATATTGCGCTGTTTTCCAGCGATTTGAAAGCATTATACAGATGTACTAAAAATTTACTAACAAAGGATTTTTAATTTACTAAAAGAGCAAGTTGAATTGGGAGTGAAATTGCATTTCCTCTTGGGTAGAGTTGCTCGTTCTTTGCTACCTTTCAAGTCTGTGTTGTTGCCTTAACTAAGTCCCCTCCTCTGCATAATGGTTAAAAATCACATCTAACCTCTTTGGGTACAACAACATCCTCAAAGGTCACGCCGCGCGTGTCGGAAGCTCTCTGACCCATATTCATTTCCTGTAATAAATTACCAAGATGTAATAAGCAAGGTGCTGTATGCGTTCATGGACAATTCAATACAGACTTCCATTCACAATCAGAAATGATCTAGGAAAACACACCTTTCTCCCTTTTGTAACTCCTGGTGCGTCAGCATCTACTATGAAGCCAGTGAAGGCTTTACCCGCTGGTGCTTTAGGGTCAGGATCAGTTCGTGCCAGGACAAAATACCTAAACAACATATACAAGGTATAAATAGGTTGAGTATGATCGTCCGGGTGAACGAAGTCCTGAATTGGACAGTTGTTGTTGACAGTGACTGAAATTTCGACAACCTGTGCGGTAGTCGTCTTCAGAGTCAGTGTGACTTGTATCACGTCAGTTGATGGTATTAAACTCTTGTTATTGATCTGATTGGTCAATTAAGGGCCTGTTTACATGGAAGTGAGGGACCCCAGGTAGGTGAGGTAACCCACTTAGGTAGGGTAAAAAATAAACCCTCCTTTACATGTAATCTTACAACCACGTCATCCCGGTGTGCACTTTCTCAAGATTATTAAATGGTCGCTAAGCACGTAAACAAGAAATATGCTAGAAAACCACATGTTTTGGCGACTAATACTCTTCTACACTCACTTGCTGCTCTTGCTGCAACCTTCAGTGCTGTGGCTTTCTATTGTTACCTTTAATAATAATGCAAAGCCACAGCCAAAGTGAATTTTGTGCGAATTTGATTGTTACGAACCTTTGAAATAATAATGCAAAGCCACGGGATTTTCCCCAAAGTGAATTTTGTGCGAATTTGATGAAAATAGAAGAGAAATAGAACCCCAGTCGTTTGAAACTTGTTGTTTACATGGCAACTTGAAATTTGACAACCCTGCATGGACCCCGGCTGAGAGGGTTACCCGGTCTGGCAGACTGGGCTACCCGCCTTGGCGGGTCACCCCATCTATCATGTAAACGTGATCAAATTAAAATGAGAGATTATAGACAAGACAAGACAAGACAAGACAATGTTTTATTTGGAGTCTTATACAGTCCTATGTATATCGACTTGATCCAAATAATTTAAAATCATAACACAAATTGCACACTAGTGGAACTATAATCAATGTTAACCTAAACAACTAATGATCTTCTTTTCTCTCTTATATGGACGGGCGGGTTACCCCACCTAAGCGGGTTACCTCACCTGCCTGGGGTCCCCCACCTCCATGTAAACAGGCCCTCAGTCAACTTGGTCAACCTACTTATGAAATGACTCCGGGTTCAAACGTTTCACAGAAATGCAAGGTAAGAAACTTTTTTCATGACTTTTCTGGCAGTGAAGATAGAGGAAAACACAGAAATGGAGAATAGCTGACTATGTAATTATTCTCACCAGTTAGCAACACCTCCATTCGTTATCCACATCTTCTGTCCATTGATGACATACTAGAAATTACAACAAAAGATCTTCAGGATCATTTATGTCTCATCCTCACAATTTTTAACAACTCTACAACACAGTGACAACGATATATTATTAGTACTAGTCATAGCTATCGCTAGGTGCCAATGAGCACAGATTTTACCAATACACGCGCTGTTCAATTTGTTTAGAAATGTCATGAATTACCATAATTAACGAAAAATAGTTTGAACTCACTTCGACTGCATAAGCGAAAATTACCTTGAAAATAGTGAAATAAACTGTTCTACCGCATAAAGAATTTGAATCCCAACTTAACAAAGCATATTTTTCCAGATATTGAAGATCGTGTTTTTGTCCAAAGTTGCGCACAGGTCATTCTGCGTAAAATTTAGTGGTCTTATAAGCGAACTTAGAATCCTCGAAAACTCAAATTAAAGTCCGCGAATATTCAATGTACAGATTTATATTAATTTTTGGTCTCTTTTTAAAGCTTAGGAAGTCTACTTTTCAAGAAAAAAAAAAGATTTATGGTACGCAGAAGAAGCTTTTTTAAACGTCAGAAAAGTAATCTTACACTATCTATGTTACATCGCAAGGAGATTCGAGATTCATTCTGCCTTGGAACTTTCAGCTTTATTAGACTGCCGCCTCGCAGCCTAGCGTCTTCGTGAGGCTGCTCCTTGGCAATTATACAATGTATGCATCTTAGTTGATAAGATAATTATGCTAGAATTTGCACAGCAAAATTGGATTTAATACATAGACTCTGCCGCCTTTTACTGTGACAGCAATGCTTCACATCAGTATGTTTTCCAGCTTAAGTTGAACATACAGTACACATGGTTAGTTGATACACTGACATAGTTTCTAATTTATTTATCACACTAATTCTATAACGACCAACTACAGTTAACTCCTTTTATAGCAGAGACTGTAGGGACCCCAGGGGCCCCACTCACATATTTTAATGACGAAGGATTTTTTTGGGTCTGACATTTTGGCCAAAAGGGATTTTTTTGGGTCTATGAAAGACGCCGGGATTTTTTGGGGGTTGCGAAAACAACAGAGGGATTTTTTTTGGTATTGTATTTTTCACCAGCTCAAATCAAAAATAACATAAGCGCAAGTTATAGTGTTGTTTTTGACCAAAACCAAAGTTGAAGTTGGCATGTTTTAGCTTTCCAGAAGATAAATAATAAAATTTGCTGATGCAAAAACACTGAGGGATTTTTTTGGGTAGACAAATTCTGAAGTTGGGATTTTTTTGGGTATAAAATATGAACCTCTGTCGGACCCCCCCCATCATTAAAATATCTGATTGGGACCCCTGGGGTAGGGACCTTGAGTCAGTGTCCTCATGAGCGAGAGTCCGTAATAGCGGGAGTTTATTTCAGTCGAACGCATTTTTTCCTGGGATTTAGCTGCTGTCCATTATTATCAGGGTGTCCCTTATAGCGGGGTGTCCACAAGACGAGAGTTGACTGTAGTTGCCTACACCGGTCATAAAACTGAACCAGTAGGCACTTGACAAACACACTGATTTGTTGTAAATATATTGTAAATATCTCGTTAAATCTTGTTAAATACATATGATTTTAATCATTTCTTATTGTTTTACAGTTTTACACATTTTATTGAATATTGTAATTACTTTGAAAAGCCAGAATTTGGAAAGTAAAAAAATTATTATTATTATTATAGATCTGCAGCATTTACCTCATCTCCTTTCTTTTCAGCTCTGGTTTTAATTCCTGCCACATCAGATCCTGCACTTGGTTCAGTCACACAATATGCCTACAGAGTATATATGTAAATAACCAATATTTATATCAGGCCATCTGATATTACACAATGGTGCAATTTCGCACAATTGACCTCAAATCCCATCCGATCACACAATTTGAGGAAAATTGCATAATTCGTAAAAAAATGCTAAATTCAAGTAAAGAAAACAATGAATTCTAACTTTAATTAAACATTTTCCTCATCTTAATGTTATTTTTAAGGTGATTTACCACTAAAGAAGGCCTTGCAAGACATCTGAAACTTTTGATCGCGATATCTGGGCCGCCATCTTGATTTCAGAGACAAGCAGTGTGGTCAGCAGTGTAAGGGCGTCATGTAATATTAAGCAAGTGCCCTTTTTCTTTTGCGGGTCAAAATAATCGGACAAATTTAACTATTTTGTTTTAACCAGATGTTTTATTATTCCTTTTATTATTCAAATTGCCCGTTAAACAACATTAAAGTGTTTTTTCTCCTTTGAAACCTGGTAAAACAATGTAAATTAGCCCTGAAAAAATCGCATAATTTATCGCATAATAGTCCTATCTTATCGTACAATCTTCGCGCAAAACATCGCACAATTTCTGATTTTTTATCGCACCCTATCAGATGGCCTGTTATATGACTGAAAGATGATAGAAGTGAATATTGAGAAATCATCTTCTGTGTACCATTGCTTTTTTCACCGCCATATTTGTTTGTCTAATTTAAACCATGCGCCAGCATGCAAGTTACCACTGACCGCCCGCAACACTGAATTCAGCCACCTTAAATAGTTGCAACATCACTAGATTCCAGTAAACAATACAGTCATAATTGTAGCTGCATCTTTAAGACAAACATATAGTAGAACCTTGATATAAGAAACCTCTATAATAACATAGTCTTTGTTATAACAAATGACATTCTTTGCCCAACCTCAATAATTCTAACAAAGCCTTTCTATAGCTTATAATTTTGCCTGTTTCTTAGCCCTTCGCTATATCAAAGTTCCACTATACATGTGATACAATGTACATACCGCCATCAGAGGTTCCTCCACCATGCGCCCAAGATATTTCTTCTGTTGTTCTTTGTTACCAGCTAATATAACAGGCATTTCCTTATAACACCAAAATTAAGGATGAGTAGATAGTAAATTCTGGTGTTAGCCCTCAACACCCAATAAATGTCACGTTCTTCAAAAGAAATCTTAAGTGGGTCACAGTGTTAAATAGCTCAGTGGACCAGAAGAGTACATGGTATGGAAGCATCACTGCTATCTCCCTACTCTTTGATCCTTTCAATACAAGAATAAACATCATGCTGGGAACAGAACTGTAATGTTAGTGTAACTTTTTTTGATTCTGTGGATGAAAAAAGGATTATGCTATGGAAAATCATGTAAAACAGCTTCAGAAATTTTCCTATGCTAAAACCATTTTTTTAAAATCATCACATGAATACAATAACAACTTACTGCCAAAGAATTAGCTTCAATTGCAGTTTGAATTCCAGTGCAACCATAAGCCAACTCTTCTGTTGCCACACATCCATCAAGTACCCCCAGACCTGTTCCACCTGAAAACATATTGTAAGCATTACTTAAAAACATGGTGCAAAAATTCCTGCATACATGTACAAATAATCATTGCAATACCAGATTCTCTTCACTTGTGTACAGGATCAAGTCCCTTTAACCCTTCATTGTTTCTCAATAATGATTGGAGTTCTTAAAGTACAAACAACACAATAAACAAACAGTGAAGTTAAACGGATATTTTAAATCAGAGGTTACTTACCACAACTCTCTGGGATATGGCCATTCAATAGTCCGAGAGAATGTGCCTTCTTGATGATTTCCCAGGGATACTGAAAAACAAACACTTTTGTTTAACAAAAAAGGAAAGAAGGAAGAAGAAGACATACTACACGTACAATGTACAATGTAAAGTAAATAAATTCTCTTTTTACCTCACCAGTCTTGTCATATTCAGCAGCAACAGGAACAATTTCCTCATGACTGAACTTTCTTGCCATTTCCTGAAGCTGCTGCAACTCTTCGGAAAGCTCTAAAAACCATAAAAAATGAAATACAAAGTAATTAAAGTAAAAAAAAAGTAGCGGTAAACTACATGTAATTTAATGATGAGACTAAATATAATTTTGGCAAGGTAAACCTGAGAAAATGTTGGCCAGCAGTCTCTGTAACCATAGCTCATGTCCCTGTTGGTACATGGACCTCTTACTGCTGCATGGTATAATACATTGTATACAACGTATACAACATATATATTGACAAATACACCACTTCTTAACTGGCTTTAACTGCAAGTTTCATTTAGTATCGATCTTCTGCTGTGAAATGATCCTCTGTTATGAAATAATGTTAAATGTTAAAAAATAATTTTCAAATATGCGTTTTTCTTGTTCCAGTTTTAAAATTTACTTTTTAAATATAAAGCATTTTGCTTCTTCCAGTTTATCTAGAAATTTTAAAAAATTCAGGCTTTTTGAAAATGATATGAAGTTGAGAACACTAGAGTCACGAAATTTAATGCCCTTTTTCATAGTTAACTATTGATAATCAAGAAAATAAAACCCCGAGAAATAGTTTCTTGAAAATCATGAAATTGAGTATCTACAGTACATATAGAACCCCAGTAACTCGAACTCTGAAAGAAAAAGAGAAGCAGTTTGAGTTATAGGGGAATTTGAGTTATTGGGGTAAATTTCAGTGAAATTTTGATCAAGGGAAAGGAAATTTAGTTCAAGTTAGCAGGGAATTTGAGCTATCTGATTTCGAGTTATGGAGGTTCTACTATACATTGTAAATGCGAAATTGCATGTAAGTGCTGATAAGGTGTATGTACATCACTGTCTTGTTTGTTGGAATTTTAACCTGACAGCGCCTCAGGTGTCCATAGACATATTCAGCTAACTCATTGTTGTACCCAATTCAAACCCTTTGGGAATACAATGTTTTGTTTCAGGAATTTCCAGATCATTTAAATGTGAATGCCACATTATAATGCAAATACAATACACAGAGAATCATAACCCAGGGAAATTTGAATTGGGTACAGCACTGAGCTAGCAGAATAGGTCTATTATGCAATACATGAACAAAATCAGCTGCAGGTTCATTCAAGATGTGCAAACACATTTTTTTAATGACCTGATTGTAGAACAAACATCTTCTTGCCCAGTTGTTTATACTTTCACTAAACAAACATGTAATATTTAAAGTCATAACAATGTAGTTTACTAATGACAGAATGTTTGCATTACCAAAATTAAGGCCAGAATTGAATGAAGACGATTCAAGTTGTATGGCCTCTGCACTGAACTTGGACTTCTGAAAACACAAAAATGAATGTACTAAAGCAACTGGTCGATGGCAAATACAGTCAATCAATGTAGTACAACATCTGGTACAGTGAAAACTTGATATAACGAAGGGACCAAGGGACTGGCAAAATCTGTTTGCTATAACAAGGTTTTGTTATATCGAGGTTCTTTTAAAATTTTAATATTTTACTATAATTTATTACTGGGGTAAAGAAAATCACACCAAGGACCTTGTTGTGAAGAGGTTTGTTGCATCGAGGTTCCACTTTGATTCTATCACTTATTAGGGTCTTGACACTTCACATTACTTTTTGCCCATTCACCCCCAATCCACCTGTAACTGCACCCCTGTGAATCCACATCAATTGTACTGCTTGCGATGTCAACAATTTAAATAGTCAAAAACATTATTTCGTCCTCTAACATGTGCAGGGGGAAAGAGATTTTTCAAACCATGCTAAAATGATCACAATTCGGTCAAGGAACGCGGAGAAAAAAGCAAAAAAACAGTCCCTGTTTGGTGATCATTAAATTAATTCTCATGGCATTTTGTCTTGATCATGTATTTTATAAATAGTTTTTAGAAGAAAATTGATGTTGGTCGAAGGGTTAATTAATTAACATATATGTGACCGTAAAATATGACCAATAACAAATCATTCTTACCAGTGTTGTAGCACCAGCAGAGAGAACACCCCTCTACAAGGTGAAGAAATAATCAAACAAAAATATTAACATTTGAAGTTACAATGGCATCTTCTTACTGAAATACATATTTTATTTTTTTATGCACTGGACAATCTGTTGTTACAAATACTATAGATGTACACCTTAGTTGCAGCCCATTACTGTAATTTTGCTTGTTTTTACATTCTGTACATAGAGTTAAGAGAGTTCTCAGTGGGGGTTTTCAAGCCTATGGCCCTGATGAAAATTTTCCCACAATCCCCAAATCCCAAGGGCTTTTATTAGCTAGTACTCAGAGAAGTTCATTTTTCTCTCATCTTCCAACCAGTTCATGTAAATAGTGACTAAAAAGCCCCAGGCTAGACGAGTTACCTGTTAAAGTATCTATCTACATATCAGGGGTTTCAATAACAATTGAAGTAGCCAGTAGGTTTGAATAGAGTAACTGACTGTATCAAGAGCCCCGCTGTTAGTCCTTTGTTTATGGGGGTCTCCCAGAAAATTTTGAAATTGAAAAGGCCTCAAATGCCATTTCCATCGTTCTGGGGAGTAAATTGAGAACAGCTGAGTACACTCAACAAAATGTAACATTAATTCACATTTCAATTTGTCAGCCACTGAATCAACTCCTACAAGTAATGAACAAATGAATATAAACACATAACGTTCATTTGCACATGAACAAATTCTGCATAGACCTATTATGAAACGTGCATGTGAAAAATTGACTGAAACTACAGCATTCACATAATAGGCCTGTGACAACATATAATGACATTTCCATCAGATTTAATGATCTCTCGTCATGATATTATTCGTTTACGATGTTATTAAACTAGTTGCTCCTTCTTTGGGGAAAACAGTACCCAACGCGTTTCGTCGGACGTCGGTGCTTATTGAAACCCCTATATGTATCTAACCAGTGGCAGATACAGTTGTTATGGCCCGACAAAAGAGCGGTTGCTGAGAAAAATACAGGTAAGACCACTTTTTAACCAGGTATTGGTTCTATCTCTAAATTCCTTATCCCACTAAAAATTATTCGCATCCTGAATATTGCTCACCATGTTTCTGCTTGAAAATCCAAATTCCCAAACTTTAAATTAACCAATCCCAAACCCAGAAAAAGACTTACCGTATTTTCTTCACTTATAAGGCGCAGCATTTTTTCAACGAAAGCTCGTTTGATAGCTCTAAATCTGTTGTAATTTCAGGGCGCGTCTTATAAATGAAACAAAATTGAGTCAAATTCTTTACTCAAAATTTCTAGCTGCTCATCGTCTTTTTTGTTATCCATTTTCAATGACTTCTAAACGATGAATGAATCATTTTGCATTCAAAACAAATCATCTGGCATAGATAGGTGGGATTTTTTTGCTTTTGATCAAAATATGTAACCTTTTTTGCCTTTGTTCACATAGGTGAATGGCCATAAATCAGCATTGTTGGAAAGCTTGTTGTTGTAGTTAAGGTGAACATCGCCAAAAAATCGTGGCTGAGCCTTACATTTTGGCTTAATTTTCCGTTTGTCAACTTCAAAAAATCGTGTTGAAGAGTTTGGGGTACGTCTTATAAGCAAGTGCGCCTTATCACCGAAAAAATACAGTATTAAGGACCCTCTACATGGCCTTGGTTGTGCTACATGTATGCCTTTATCCCTTGCCCTCCCCCTCCCCCATAACGCCCACTAATAATTACACAATGTTATGCAATATATTACGTTTCACATTCTGTTCTGCGGCAAAAGAATGCGAATGTCAAATGCAGCAAAACGTCTTGCAACTAAACAAAAAATGTCCCTTTCTCACATCTAATCAAGTATGTAAGCTTAAGCTTAAGCTTGTATTTAAAAAATCGCAAGTGACTGACACAAAGAGAGCACTGAACATTAAGCTTGAATTAAAATTACTCAACGATCATTACATACACTAAGCACTTTCACCAACAGAACAAATGAGTACGCTACATTTAATATTTACGTTTATAACAGCTAACTAAAAAATCATTTCTCTAAAGTACCTCGGCAAACGTTTGTAATTTTCAGGCCAGGCTTAAGTTTAAAAGCTTGTTCAACGTAATCAAGATAATTTAAGATTTATACTTAGGTTACATTTTTTGCTTCGAGTTCTTACGACTATTCATCGAACAATGTCTCACTGAATTAAAAGATTAAGAACAAAGTTAGTCTTTCAACTCGTCGCCTTACCTGAAGGCCGAGACCAACACTTCGCCGCATCAAACTTAAAAACGCCATGTTCCTGTTGATGTTTGTTGAAAAAGAACGTAAAGAGCAAAGTCCAGTCAAAGGACAAAGTGACTGGTACCAAGCTTGGGATTAACCGCTGGCCACGGGAAAAAAAAATGGCCGACGAAAAAAACGCTGAAGTTGTAAGTGGGGAGGAAAAGATAACAGATGAGTTAACAGATGAGGATAACCAGAGTGTTATGTCTGATGGTCTCATGCAGATATTTAAACCAGCAGTTCAAGAGCTTGATGAAAAGGTTTTAAGCGTGAGGTACGATTAATTCTTTTCACTAATATGGGCTAGCTATAAAATTGTCCTAACCTGTAGCTGTACTTTGGTCATCCAAAGAAACGTCAGACACTTTATTTTTTACATAGTGCATGATCTATTTTGAAATACTTGTTCCGAAATCAGCTAAGAATCTAAGCTTATTTTAATTTGCAGAGAAAGTCAAGTTGAACTACGGGAACAAATCGACAAACTTGCTCAAGGTAGGAGTATTAAGTTTCAGGATTGGGGCTAACATTTCAAGTTGCTGGGTATAATTATATGAGATTAGCAGCAGGGGAAATGTACAGCTAGTAACCTCTTTTGGTTTTATATTCCTTTTGGTTCCTTTGAGAGTAGCCGGGGCTCCTAGAAGCCAGGGTAAATCGCTGGTCCCCGGCTCTTAGTGGCAGCCCTGAAGTTTAGAAAATGATAATGATAATAATAGTAATAATAATAATTGCAGTCAACTCTTGCCTTGTGGACACCCCACTACAACGGACAGGAGCTAAATCCCTGACAAAAACAAATTACAGATTTTTGCCTGAAATAAACTCTCGCTATTATAATTATGGACTTGCGCTAAAGAGGACATAAACTCAAGGGGGTTTTGCTAAAGGCAGGCCCACGGCCCGCGACAGCCCCGCGGCTTGGTAACCCAGAGGCCGGGTTACCATGTTTCTATTTGTTGCATGTTGTTCAGATGAAAACGTTTTCATTCTCTGTTCATAGAAACCGATAGCACAATAGAGGACTTATATTATCGAACGATGTAAGTTATTTTCAAACCGTACATTGAAAGTGAAAATATCATAAGTAATGAGATATGTGAACTGCAAATCTTTTTCTCTGCAGAGACATGTCAGTCTATTTACAGGAACCCCACTCCAAAAGGAGAGCAGGGCAGAGTTTTTCAAACTGTGGTTTGAAAATAACTTACATCGTTTGAGAATGGACTTCCTCTCTATCGGGTTCTGTAAACAGACAAATAAACAGAGAATGACAACTTTTTTTACTTAGCAACATGCAACAAAAGAAAGGGTTGAAAAGGATTGAAATGATTATTAAAATGGTAAACAAATTCAAACTCACCGTCGTCCATTTTGCACGCCCAAACCCACCCTCGTACCCAGCGTCTTTGTTCCCCTTAACCAGCGGTTGGGAAACAGCATCTTGTCAAGCCAGCATGTGCAGTAAGGGACGGAGACTCGAGGTACGAGATTGGCCCTAACCCGATGGAGATCTGTGCATGTGTGCGGATTTACCGTTGGACAGAAAAACCGTGAAAAATCAGGACTGGGTCACTGGGCTGCCGGGCAGCCGGGCTGCCTGGGCCTCCGGGCCATGGGCCACTGGGCCACGGGCCTGCTTTTAGCAAACCCAAACTCAAGGTCCCTACAGTGTCCACTATAAAGGGAATTGACTGTAAATACTTATATGGCACATTTAATAAGCTCTATGCCCCTTACAAGAATAAAACATCTAGATGAAAAAATATAAGAGCAGAAATCCTAATATAACTTCTCACAGCTTATGAATTTAAAAATTTTTGCCTAAAAAGAAAAGTTTTGAGCAGTTTTTTAAAACTGTCAGCAGTCTTTGCTTCCTTAATGTTCTGTGGTAAGATATCCCACCATTTAGGCGCTGCAACTGGAAAAGTTCTACCACCATTGTTGTCAGTTCTAGCTCTTTGAGGACAGAGTAGTGAAAGTGACCCTGATCTTAAGGCTTCAAGTAGTCTGCTGACTGGCCGTTTATGGTCTTGTAGGTTAAGAGGAGAATCTTGAATTCAATCCTCTTCTCAACTGATAGCCAGTGCAGGTTTTTTAAGAAAGGTGTTGCATGGTTTAAATGTTTAGAATTCATCATAAGATGCGCCGCAGTATTCTGAATACGTTGAAGCTTATCTCTTTGATATGCAGGGATGCTATATAATACAATATTACAGTAATCTAATCATCTCATTGCGAGAGTAGCTTTTTTACAAACTTCATTGATGTGAGCACTAAACATCAAATTATTAAGTTTCTAGCTTTCTTTTTAATGTCGATGTTAGTTCCTGCAAACGTAACGGTTTCACCGAAAGATGGTTGCTTTGTAAACTGCAATGTAAAATGTAGCACGTCAATCTTTCCAGGATTACTCTTGAGCATAACTGTTCCATGAGAAAATATGCTCAACACATTGTTGAAGGGTATCAAGAGCATCATTATTCAGGTGGTTAGGGTTAATAGAAACATAAACTTGACTATCGTCAGCATAGAACATACAGTTAAGATCACAATTTAGTATTACACACTTTATTATTATTATTAACAAGCTACATTTACATAAAGCTTGTTAATAATAATAATAAGGTGTGTATTACTAAATTGTATATCATATCTTCAAGAAAAATTGGGTCAGGATTTGGGAGGCAAATTGTGATCATTTTCTTCTCTTTTGTTTTTGCTCTTTCCATTAACTATAAGCTTAGAACTGGCTAAAGCTATGGGATTACAAAGGTCACTGAGAATTATTGATTGCTTTTATTATTTACCAATTTGAAACAGATCTGCGTAGGTTGTCTGAACTACAAGAACTTCCAGTTGACCTTGAACCATATGTAAAGAAGCTAATGAATTCTAGGAGAAGAGTCATGCTTGTAAATAACATACTGCAGAATGCCCAGGTACTAAATCAAACAATTTTAACTACAATTAAACACAATATGAACAACATAAATAAACAGCCAAACCTCCTTAAAACAGACACCAAAGGTACAGGGTTAACCCTTTAATCCCCAATATCCACATACAAATTCTCCAAACTGATCCCCATACATTTCCTTCATAAATGAGTTAAGAGAATTTGATAAAAGATCAAGACATTTTCTCTTAGGTGATCATTTTATTAATTCTCATAACCTAATCTCTTGACATTGTATGGATATCATTAGGAGAAAATTGACGTTAGTCACTATTGGGACTTAAAGGGTTAAAGAGGTGTTGTTTTGTAGAGGTTGGTGCTGATGATTGTTGTCTATGTGACCTGCAAGAGAACTCTTCTTGCTAGGCAGGGCCTCTATTATTATTATGATTGTGATTGTGTGATTTTGCACAATTGACATCCAAATCACAACCAGTCATATAATCCTCAAACACTCCCATCATTAATTTCAAAGAACGCATAAATCTGGACAAAATAACAAACATAAATTCTAATTAGTGGTGGAGGGGGGCTTATTTCTTTTAGCGAAGATTTTAGTAGCAGTTCTCCTTAAAGAAAAAGAACACAAAGTAGAAATGCTCAAGTACATGAAGATGCAGGTCATGCAATCGAAGATCAAAAACAAATCCGACCTTCCAGCAATTGAATAAACCATGATACTGGATCAGTCCACACAACTGTCAAACAAAAGTGAACTTTGAAAAGCTGTTAGACAACCAAGTCTTCCGAACGACAATACTGCAATCTGTTTTATTCTTTTTAAAGTTTGTCCATTGTGCCTCCTTTTGTGTTAATGCATTATTTAAACGTTATTTTAATCTTTTAAGCAATTAAATTTGTTTTTAATTATTGTATCTGGTGGTAGTTCCCTCTGTTTAGATTTTGATAAAGTTTGTTTCTCCACTTCGTAAATGGCACCACATATGGGTGGCTCAGGAAAAATCTACCATTGTCAGTATGATCAGCATGCAAAGGAAGTGGTGTCTGATAACCTGGGGATAGTGGATTTTGCTATTGGGCTTGTGAATTCTGTTCTTAACTTGCCCGATGGGCAAGTGATTTTTTTTGGGCGGGGGGGAATTCAAATTACAGAAGAAATGTAATCAATCCTGCTCATCAAATCTTTTCCAGGCCAGCTGACTTTCAGGCTAGTACATTCTAGGTACAGCTTGGAATTTGGGCAAGCTGTAAAACTGACTTTCTTTGCACCCTGATGACTGTCACATGTTAAAGCTAGTGTTCTTCATGTTCTGACTTGTATTGGCAACTCCATTTAAAACTAATATAGACCATTGTATGCAGTATTCTAGTCAAAGAATTTAGTTATTAACAATATCGTGTTATGTTTTTGTTATCATTAGGAGAGGCTTGGCAGACTGCATCAGAGTGTCACAAGAGAGACAGCTAAAAGAAAAGCTTTACTCGAACCTTCAGAGTTCTAGTACAACCAGAAATTTAACAGAAAGTTGTAGATAAAAATAGACAAATCTTTATGCTGAAGTTAACTTACATTAAACATTTTTCCGAAAGAAGCAAAAGTTTCTTTGTTGGTGCTAAAGATTAAATTACAAACACTTAAGATCACAGTACACAAGGTTTCAGTATAAATCATAATAATGATATCACCTTTTATTAATATTAAGTAATGATCCGGGTAAGGTGGAAAGCAATTTCTTTTGTTATGCGGCAACGGTGCTTTCCCCACATAGAAATGTTCTCATTTTTACACAGAGAATGCATAAACCTACATGAAGGCCGTTTACGCAATAAAATGCATTTACACTCCACTTTGAAAGGGTGATTTTTTATGTTAAAAGATTTTGACCAATCACAAGAGTTGAAAACAATAGCCAAGAAAAGTTTACAATTTAACGTGTTCCCCACATGGAATTTCTTTGTTATTCAAACTGAGACCAGATTTCGTTATATGGAAGATGGTTGGAAAGTAAGGATGAATATATGTACCGCTTTATGAAGTTTTGTTAACTTTTGCTGTTTAAGCCAATCAGAAGTAAGTACAGACAAAAGAAAATTTAGCACCTTTTTTGCATTCCAACATGTTCGTTGCCGTTGTTGCTATCGTTCTTATCTGGACCGTTTCTTAACATGCTAACCAAACAGTCCTATTAGTGCATCCACGTGCATATGAAAAGACAAAAGGCAAAATTCCAGGAGAACATCACGTGGTCTCAATTGGAAAGCTAAAAAGGTATATTAACAAATCGGGCGCAATTTCATCAACGAATCAGAAGAAGACGTGTTTCCCTCGCTTGGCGTCCATTGCAAATGTGATTGGTTTGTTTGATTGTCAGCCCGCGCGGTGATTGACCAGAGTAACTCTATACAACAGACAATAAGCAGAATTAGTGCACAGCTCTTTTGACTCTCCACCAGGGGAAGCTTTATAGCATTTGGTAGCAAAGGATTTGCACCGCTCTAGATCAAACATTTAGGATAGTAGAAAATTGTCACCCAGTAGTAAAAGTTGTAAGTAACGAAAACAAAGGAAAATAATTTAAGTGAAAACGCATCAACACCAACAATAAACGTTTCCCGGTAAACAATTTCTCGAACACCTTTCCATTTTTCTCCCACTTTACTCAAACTACAGGCTTGCTTGGAATCACTGGCTTCTAAGATGCTTTCAGTGTTTTCGTCGCCCTTTTGGTCCGTGGTTTCTCCGTTGTGAAGTAGCTTTCGAAGCTCTCTGTCATCCAAAATGATAGCAGAGTGTCTATGTTTAATGTTACCATTAAATTGAGCCAGGCCACTAGTTAGCTGAAATGATAAAAGTGTAGAGATTTAATTTGTAAAATGCAAAACTTTTTTTCTTCAAAATTGGTTTTTCAAGGCGCGAAGTACGTTAGTCTACACTCGTTCGAGGACTCAAACGCTCGCTCGTTCTTGATGCCTACGCAGATTTATAACAGCGGCTGTTTGGATAAAGTGCTTATGTCATTTTATAATTTAGTGGAAAACGCTGAAGTGTATGGATACCCTCGGGGAGGGGAACCATTGAAAAAATATCGCTTAACTGAAAAGAAAAATGGATGAAGACCGTGAAACGGAAGAAAACTGATAGAAACGACAGAATTGAACAGTCAAAAAGGGCACATTCCTTTTACTACAATAACCGCCAAGTACACTTAAACAAAAAAGCCTCAGATTTCAAGAGCAAAATCCTAAGAATGTATCTCTGAAAGATGGCTTAAACATGCAAACCGCAAATCCAGTCCACAACTGCTTCAACACACTAGTGCATACTTGCAAGTGTGGTTTGTTGTTTAGGCTGTTATGTGGGCTATCCTTGGAATAGCCTGCGTAGCTAGCGGGATTTATAGCGCGCGACTTCTTCATTCCGCGGGAGCCATTGCTTTTCAGGGTCGGCCAGGGGGCACTAGTAGAATACCAAAATACCCGAAACAAACCTTCCAGTATATACCAAAAATTACGGTAAAACTCGTGTAAAATACTTAAATTAAGAAAAACACGGTATACTTTATACCCAAAATTGGTCGTGAGGGAATACTTACCCAATTGTAAGCATAAAAATACTGTATACCTGAAATTAAATACCCAAATATACTGTATACCCAAAAACCCTGGCCGACCCTGGCTTTTGTTCAGGGGTAAAGCCTTGACAAGAGGCGGCTCCGCAGCTCTGTTCGCCAGCTAATTAAGGAGGCTATCCTTGGAGCCAAGTTTAAACGATCGGCGGAACTACATAATCTGTTCTTGGGGAAAGTTGGTTGCACAGCAGAAACATACACAAATTACCTTCTCCACAAGGTTCCTAGTTTCTTTCTTCTGTTTTTCAAAGTTTTGCTTTCCTCGATCAAGAAGGAGCACAATGGCGTACTCCAGCAAAGAACAGAATACAAACAAAAAACACACGATCAAGTACTTGTCGATAGCTTTCACGTAATTCACCTGGAAAAAATTAAATAATGAAAATATTTCTGGCTGTCATAGTAACTATTAATTTAGCGGCAATGTATTTTTCACTGCTATCAGTGAGGTAAGTCTTGTAAAATTTCCTTAGTAAAGTTTACTGACAAGACAGAATACTACATATGGTAAGAATAAACATTCCCAAGGGGATGTATACTTGATATTGCCCAAAGTATAAACTCTCGGTCCCAGTCGTTCGAAACCCTCCGGGTTTCTCTCTCCAATCCCTGCGTTTTCTGTAAAGTCGGCAAATTTAAGTGGTCATGGTTGTTCGATGCAGGCTTTTCCCTTTGAATTATTTAACCTGGGATTGCGCTTATAACCAAGTAGATTAGGCCTAATAATCTAATTCATTTATGGCTTTTATGCACATTTTCCAAAAACTATTGTTAAAGACATCCACGAGGAATGATAGATGGTAAAGTAAACTAAAACGAAAAAAAACCTTGATAAAAGAAATCCAAATTACTTGGTCACGTAATCGACTACGCCCTCCAGTGTTCGAAAATTGTAACCACGATTCCCACCACTTTCTCTGTATCAAAGTGTCTGCGAAATTAGCTCGGAATGGTTCGAAGCGTTACAATTGGCAGATGCAATTGGTGTTCATTGACTAGTGCCAGTCCTCCTCCCACTAAAATTTTCTTCAGGACTGAGACGCTAATGACTTCATCTCACTCCGACTGTTTTTACAACAAGAGTATTATTAGCTAATGTTTGAACCTACATAACTACATAAGGAAAGAGGTTTGCTCTCCGTCTAGTGGGTAATTCGACTCAAATGATTCCTCGCTAAAATAGGGCGTAGTTGATCACGTGATGCAGTTAAAATAAATTTTTAAAATGAAATTGGAGGATTTCTTGGTTATGACTGGCCTTAAGTTTGAAGTTTGAAGTTTGAAGTTCATTAATTCATAAATACATAGCAGTTCGAAAACTAAATTGCGTATTTACGTTACAAGAATTAAATTATAGATCCAAACATTAACTAATCTATCTTAATTGAAAGGAATAAATAAACTAACAAGAGATGAGATGCTAAAAAAAGTTATCGAAATACAAGCTGCGAAATTCGAAAACTCTAACCTATAGAGTGTTTTCACTCACGTGGCCAGCATCTATGCAAATTTATTGGAACAAAAGAAAGCGTTTGCATAAGAAAAGAGTTCAACTCCCAGAGGATTGGTCTGGGACACCGACATGGCCGCTGTTTCATTGTTTTGGGACACCAATATGGCCACCGTGACGTCATGTGAAAACACTCTATAAGTTAGTTGCTTTAAGACATGAAAAGATAATAAAGCTATTCTTAAAACAAAACGGTCGGTTTTAAAACGTGGCATGTTGCTAGTCCTGGGCTAGCTTACACCATTCTCCTTTTAAAATTCTGAGAAATCTGTAAAGACCCATGCCTTAATCTACTTGAGTAGCGATTCGGTGAACAACGAAGCTCCCCTGAAGAAATAATTCTTTAAACATATTTAATTCTGAACCTGAATGCCAGGATCAGACATCGAACTTCACTTGAGACGAACTTAAACTAATAAGCAAAATTTATTGTTCTCGCCTGGCATTAGCTAGGTTCGTCCCAAGTGAAGCTCGTCATTTGTGGACCCTGTCCTTACATATCGCATAAGAAAGATCGTGCTAAATGTTAGTGCCGAGAAATTCAAGTGGCATTTAGTTGTTAATTTTTTTCCTGTCACACTTTAGCTCCCAGAATGAAAGCTGCAGTAATACGAATTAGGGTCCCATGGAGCACATTTACCCCATTGGTCCTATTTTATCATCCTCCTTAATATTTGAGCTTCTGTAAGATTAAAAGTGAAGTGATTTGTACCTTGGGCATTGTAATAAGCTTTGCTTAGATGAACGGGTTCAGGGTTTTAACTAAGAAACATAACAAGGGTTGACTGGCTCGAAGGTTTATTGATCTCTTTTTGGTACAGAATGTGGTTGATATATATAGCACATTCCAGGGGGTAGGATTACATGTCAGTCAACTGTAGCATCAATCAGTATTATTATTACATCTCCCTTTTTGAGAATGAAATCAAACACTATCATTAAAAAAAAATAATCGAATAATAGCAATGACACTTCCGGTATGACAAAAGTTCAATGTTCTAATTTTCAGTGTTCAGTTCTTAGAAATTCATGACATAGTCCTTGAATTTAAAGGGAAGAGTAGTGATTCGCGAGGAGCGTCTAGGTGGTGTCGTCGATTCTGGGTTGTTGGGTTGCTGTTGTTCAGGAAGTTGTACAGGGTCTTGTTCTTTGTTGGGGGTTGCTGAGGTTTTCTGAGTTTCTGTAGTGTAATTAAAGTCGTTGTCTTGCGGGACTGATATTACAGGAGGGTTTTCTCCAGTTTGTAGCAGATCCTTGCGATTCCGGCGATATTGTTGTCCGGTCGTAGTTGTGACTAAATAGGATCTCGGGGTTTCTGCTTTCTCGTTTACTACGGCAGGTACCCAGGTCTTTCCTTGGCGTAGACGGACAGCTTCCTGTGGTTTGAGATCTGTCAAGGGCTTTGCTCCTTGATTGTAATAGTGCACTTGCTGATGTTGACAGGCTAACAGTTGTTGTTTGACCTCAGTAGCAATCTTTGGTTTCAGGAGTTCTTGTGTTACGGGGATCTTGGTTCTGGTGGTGCGACTCATGAGAAGCTGGGATGGCGAATATGTCATTCCTGTCACTGGAGTATTTCTGTACTCCATCAGGCCGATGTATGGGTCGCTTGCTTTCTTTAGTATTCGCTTAACGGTTTGTACTGCTTTCTCACTGAGGCCATTAGACTGCGGATATGTGGGGCTTGAGGTGATCAGTTCAAATCCCCAGTCGTCTGCGAATCGTTTGAACTCTTTACTGTTGTAAGGCATGTTGTCTGATACGAGCTCTTCAGGGATGCCGTGTCTAGCGAAGATTGACTTCATGTGCGTGACAATGGTTCCCGCGGTTTTGTCACGCATTAGGCTAGTTTCGATGTACTTGGAGTAGTAGTCCACCACTACTAGGTACGGTTTTCCTTTGTGTTCAAACACATCGGATCCGAGCTTTTGCCATGGACGATCTGGTATGGCATGGGGAATCATCGGTTCCTTCTGGTTCTTGTGTCTGTGTGTCAAGCATGTCGGGCACTTGACAACAGTATCATGGATGTCGCGTGACATTCCAGGCCAATAAACAATGGCTCTTGCTCGTGCTTTACACTTTTCAATTCCAAGATGGCTTTCATGTATCATTTCCAGGACGCTGTGCTGCATGGCTTTTTGGAATGAGAAGCCGTCTTCCTTTGAATAGAAGACCGTCGGCTTCACTTAGCTCATCTCTGACAATCCAGTATGGCGAGAGGATTGGTCTCAAGGCTTTTCTATGGGGTGGGAAACCTTTTTGTATTTGAGCTTTCAGCGCCTGAAGTGTTGCATCTTTGGCGGTTTCATTTTTCAGCTGTGTCAACTTTTCTGGACTCGCTGGGATTTCGGTGATGAAACTGTGGATCATCACTTCGATGTCATCATTGAGGTCTTGGGGACCCTCAACAGTCTCATTTAGGTACGCTCTTGATAGAGTGTCTGCAATGAACATCAGTTTTCCGGGTACAAAATGAACTGTCAAATTGTACTTTTGAAGCCTGATTAGCAATCGTTGAATTCTCGGGGTGTCTGAGATAATGGCTTTCTCATTATCGCCTCAAGTGGTTTGTGGTCACTTTTACAATTATGTCATTGCCGTAGACAAATTGGTGAAATCGCTCGCACGCAAATACAATAGCCAATAGTTCTTTCTCGATTTGAGCATAGTTCTGTTCGGCATTCGTCAGCGATCTTGACGCGTAAATCACGGGGTGTCCTTCTTGCAGGAGGCAACTTCCGATTCCACTTTGCGAAGCGTCGGTTTGGATTGTAGTTGGCTTGTCTTGGTTGAAATATTGCAGAACAGGAGTGTTCGTGAGTGCATGTTTCAGCTTATCTATCGCGGATCGATGTTCGTCATACCACACCCATTGCATGTTCTTTTTTCAACAAGTTGCGTAGGGGGCTGTGATTTCTGACATGTTTGGTATGTACTGCGACAGATAGTTGACCATGCCAAGTAGGCGTTGCAAATCTTGCTTACATTGTGGTTCTGGCATTTCCACAATTGCTTTTATCTTCTCGGGATCTGGCTTGAATCCATCGGCGGTCACGATATCACCAAGATACTTCACTTGGTTGACGCGTAGCTGTACTTTGCTGCGGTTAAACTTTATGTTGCGTGATCTTGCGCGTTCCAGCGCTTGTTTGAGAGCTAGGTCGTGTTCCGCAGTGTCCTTTCCGGCGATGATAATGTCATCGTGCACTGCGAGAACTCCTGGAATGTCGCTGAAGTTTTCATCCACCATTCTCTGAGCGACGTCACTCGCTACACAGATACCAAACGGCATTCTGTTAAACTTGTATCTGCCGAAAGGCGTGTTGAATGTGCACAAATAGGATGATTCTTCATCCAACTTTTTGTGCCAGTAGCAGTTACTCATGTCAATTACTGTAAAAACACGCTTCCCATTGAGCTTACTAGAAATGGTTTCGGCTGTCGGCGGCTTATAATGTTCACGCTTGATTGCTCTGTTCAAATCTTTCGGATCTAAACAAAGTCTCAATGAGCCGTCTTTTTTTTCCACGATGACTAGGCTGTTGACCCAGTCAGTTGCTTTTTCAACTTTGCTGATTACTTCCATTTCTGTCAGCTTCTCTAGTGTTTTCTGTAGTTTCGGCATCAGGCTCAGAGGAATTTTCCGTGACGGTTGTATTGTAGGCCTTGCGTCTTCTCGAAGCTCGATATGAAATTCTCCGTTGACTAAACCAAGTCCGGTGAAGACATCTTTAAATTCGTCGAGAATTTCTGTTCCACTTGTTTTGACTTCATTAACATCGTTGTTAATGTTTATCAGTTCCAGATCTCGGCAAGTTTGAAGGCCAATTAAGGGTTGAGCCTTTTCAACGGCGACAATAAAGAATTTGGCATCAAGGTTTTTGCTGTTTTTCTTGATTGTCATTGTGCATGTTCCTTTGATCGGCACACGTACCCCACCATATGCAGTTATCTTAACTTTAGTAGGCTGTAGGCTTGGCTTCTTGCTCAGTTTTTCATAGGCGTGTTCGGGAATGACATTGCACTGTGCGCCTGTATCAATTTTGAAGCTGATCTCTTCCTCATTCACGGTTAATTTCGTGAACAGTTCGTTTTTGTCATTTTGTGACGAATCTAATTCTCCAAGGAATAGATCCTCATCTGAGTCAGTGTCTGACTGCTGTTCGACTTCATTGAGTGTTTTGTGGCCAGTATTTGCGCCTTTTGTGCGGCACATATGGGCGAAGTGATCTCTCCCTTGACATTTGTGACATGTTTGTCCAAACGCCCTGCATTGTTTTGGCTTGTGGATGTAACCACAACGACCACACGGTTTTATTTGCTGGTGCTGTTGTTTCTGCTGCCTTTTCTTCATAGGCTGATATCTTGGTGGCTGTTTTTGGTTCTTTGTGACGAAGTTTACGGCTGCTGCTTCAAGGCTGTTAAGGGACTCCATTTGAGTTTTACTCGTCTCTGCGGCTCGTACGGTATTTATGGCTACTTCTAGAGTGAGCTCGTTGTTGCGTAAGAGTCGCTCCCTTACACTCTGGCTGTCGATTCCACACACGATTCTGTCCTTTATTAGACTATCGTTGAGTGTTCCAAACTCGCAGGTTTTGGCTTTGTGCGGAGATCGGTAACGAAGGCGTCGATAGGCCGTCCGTTTTGCGTGCACGAGAAGAAAAGATAGCGTTCGTACGTGACGTTCTTCTTTGGGGCACAGTACGCCTCTAGCTTTGCCACGAGAGGTTCTATCTTATTCTCCTCGGCTTCTGTAAATGTAAAAGTGTCGTATACTTCGAGTGCCTCTTCTCCTATGGTGTGTAGTAAGACTGCACATTGTGTTTCTTCGTCTTTTGAGTCTACTCCACTCGCTTTCGCATAGAGGACCCACCTCTGTTTCCATTTTCGCCAGTTTTCTGCGACGTTGCCGTCCATTCGTAGAGGTCCTATGGGCTTCATGTGTTCCATGATTGGCCACTTCTGACACCATGTAATAAGCTTTGCTTAGATGAACGGGTTCAGGGTTTTAACTAAGAAACATAACAAGGGTTGACTGGCTCGAAGGTTTATTGATCTCTTTTTGGTACAGAATGTGGTTGATATATATAGCACATTCCAGGGGGTAGGATTACATGTCAGTCAACTGTAGCATCAATCAGTATTATTATTACAGGCATAGCGTTATTGGACATGGTCAGAACAGTTACTATGGTGAGGACAGACGTCACTCCAAGCGTGACTCGAGCAGGGGACTGCGTTCTAGGTAGAAGGAAAGTCAGCCAGGAGAGTACTACAATGAGTCCGCTCGGTCCGTAAAGATGAATCACTTGATAACTGTACAGGCGCTGTAAGGAGAATGAGGCCCTCAAGCCAGAGTAGTTGCCTGTATGACAGAAAACCTTTGTCGCATTATTGACGGTGAACTGAAACTATAGCTTGCACGTAGTGGAGGCTAATGGTGAGAATACCACGATCCACCCGCATTAACCTCGACTGAGCGTGCTAGTGCCAGTTCATCGTCAATAAATTGAAATAAAACTGAAAAGTCCGCCCACTTTTCACTGCCAGATACATCTTTCGTCTCGGGCTCAGGGCTAGTCACCAGGCGTTGTGTCGGCTAGAACAAGGTAAGCCATGGAAATGAATCTGATTATTCGGACTTGATTTAAAGAGACTTTAAAAAAAGGCAGGAACTTTGTTTTGTTACTGGGTGGTGTAAGGCGGAGCATCGTGGAAATGATATGAATGGTAGCTGTTTCAAGTGCATAGCGACAGGACATAATTATGAACATCGAGCCATTGAGACAGTCTCCTAAACAGAGTCATTGCTGGAGTATATCGCTCTAAAGGACATTAGAGATGTTAGAAGGGCGCTTTCCATTTGTCAACCATAATTTTCAGGATCTTTTTTCCGGCCAGATCAAAATCCTGAATAGCGAAGGAATGGTCCGCAAAATATTGACAGGGCCCATTTCATTTTTGTGGTTAAGCAATGGTCCGGGACCAGTTCTGTCAAATGGAAAGCGACCTAACATAATTTTCAGGATCGTTTTGCTAAATCAAATGTTCAATTGGACTCAAATGTTCTGGAGTTTTTCGTCAATTTTCCCTTAAAGAGGCCGGAGACTATTTTCTACGCATTTAACATACATCATAATTGAAACAAATTAACAGTTATTTTAATAAATAATCTATGAGACTGGCTTTTATTTACCAACTACATATCGGGTGAAAATTGTTGAAAGGTGCAGCTTGGTGAGTTTAAATTGAGGTAGCATCTTCATGTCAAGGGGTACAAATGACATTCCATCCTCGCTGGATTTTTCCCATTTGTAAATGATGTTTTTTATGTCATAGCCATCTATAAAACACCAAACAAAAGAGATAAATTAAAGCAACATGTTCAACAAGTAATTATGTAAAAAATAAAATTATTCTCAAATCCCTAGTGGAAAGTGCGTGAGTAACTATTGCGTTGCCCAGTGCACACGTATCCGGGTATTTTTTCAAAGGGGAGACATTTTTCTCGGTTTTCAAAATAATAATAATAATAACACATCCACAAGTAGCTTATTCGAATTGTTTTGCCCGTCCACACATAAACGCTAAATTGAAAGAAATACGATTTGCATCCCTCACAGAGCATGCGTGGTGCTAGTAGTATGGCCGGATTTTTGGAAACGTTATCGTCAAATGGACCTTTTCCGTCCAACAGTTTTTTTCTGCCAAAAACTATCTCCAAAGTAGCCATCAAAAAATTTAAGAGTGCAACCATTGCTTTTTTTCTCTTCTCGTCCTTTCTCCCTCCTCGCGCTTTCTTTTTCTCTTTTCCTTCGATTTTATGACATCAGCGTATTTCGCAAATTGTTTAAGCTATGACGACCATCCTGCGTTTTCAAAAAACTCCCCACTCTGGAAACCGTTAAAAACCTGCGTTTTTCGTGCTCGAAAACGCCGTCGGGGTAGACGCAAGGCTAAGCAACCTGGCTCTGAATACGGAGAAAAAAACCGTTTTCAAAGATATCCTGATACGTGTTGACGGGGTCTAAATCAAGAGAGACTGCTTAAAGAACGACGACAACGTCAAAAATCAATCGGTTTTACGAGCAAAAAAGTAGCTCTGCACTTGCATCACGAGTTTTATTACATTTTTTGACGTCCTAATGCGACCTTTTATGGAGGACTTGAAAATATACTACGTCGAATTTTCCTTTCCTTGTTTGAACCTAGATGAAGTCCTAAGTTAAGAATTCAATGACTCCAGGAAAAATGGCCTGCATTTGTTGACGAATAAGGCAGGTCCAAAGAGACGCAGTAATGTTTGAAAGGAGGCAAATCCATTTTTAGCAACATTTTTGCTGCCCTCGTCGTCTTCACTGCTTAAAGGGAACCTCCACTCTTACTACAGAATAAGTTTAAACCGAATAAAATTATGTTGATAAACAAATTTGTTCGAAATTTGTCTTAAAAAAAGTGTTTATATCAGGAAAAGTGAATTATAAAATCGCTTATTTTCACTTTCAAATTTCGCGGGCGCCGCCATCTTGAATAATTGTGACGTGTTACGGTTGCTCTATTGTTCTGACACAAAGAGCTTTTGTTTAATAACAATAGGGCAACCATTATACGTCACAATTTATTATTCAAGATGGCGACGCCCGCAAAATTTGAAAACAAAAATAGGCGAATCTAAAAGTTATTTCTTTCGGATACAAACGCTTTCTTTAAAAATATTTTAGATTGACTTGACTGTAACAGTTATTTCCTGTGATTTAAAGTTATCTTTTTGTTGAAGTGGAGGTTCCCTTTAAGCTCCCTACTATAAACTGCAACTTACAACTTTCAATAATCAATGGGCATTCCTGTACGTCCATAGGATAAAGGTGTAAATCCATGGGACAAGAAGCTTTCAGAGTAACTCTGGAGAAAAATAAAAGTCAATGCATGCAGGAAAATAAAAAAATTGTTTATTATTTTACAGTTACACTTACTAGCACCACAATTTACAATAAGTTAGAGACTAAGTTTTTTCCGCAGCCAGGCCCAAATCTGAGAGGGAAAAAAGATTCTGTAAACTTCAGTAAGGAACTTGAAAGCGAGGTTCGTAAGTTATTTATTATATCGTGATTTAAGTAGAGAAACCAATATTTTTGGGTAAAATACTAAATTCACGAACTTAACGGCCATTGGTCGATGATTAGGGAAACCAAATCCTAAACGCCAGGAAATATAATTGACTCAGTACTGGCTTCTAAAATTGTGACTTTATTTCTGTTACAAACTGCGATCAAAACTTAAATTCGTTGTTCTGGTTGTTCATAGACGGTCAATAACTACTACATTCAGAATTGACCAATCTGCACTGCTGATTGCTTACTGTAAATTCGACAAAATAAACTAGTTAAGCAGGAGTACTCTGTATCAGTATCTGGACGATTTTCATGCTGCAAGGGATGTTTGAATTTTGCCTGACTGTTTGAGACCCGTTTTCGTGTATCCCCCATTATGCTTTATTAATGAATTACACCTTATTTCAGATCACTTTTTCTCACCGGTTTAGTGATTTACTATTTGATTAAACCATAGATCACACACCCCTTGTTATTATATATACAGCTTATTTCCCCTTCTCTATGGGTCGGTAGCTAACCAGCCTTACCTTGCATTGTAATTTACCAAGCCCCCAGGACCAATGGAAATCATGATATTCGGTGTGGTGACGTCGTGGAAGCTTGCTTTCTTTGCGTTTTTGAAGTAACTGTCGGGCAGCCATATGTGAGAAAGCACCGTGTTACTTAGAGATAGAGTACCTTGAAGACCGTGGTCAAGTCGCGGGTCAAACCAAGACTGACGAAGGAAAATGTCTATCCCGAACTCCTGTTAAGAGTTGAGGGCCAATTATTTTTAAGAAAATGAACAAAGAAACGAAGAACTAATCAATTATTTAATTGATTCCACAGCACACTGACAGAGTCCGCAAGTAGTCAATACACGAGAGCACGGGGGAGATTTTCAACGTAGCGCTTGTCTTTTTCGATGGTTCTACTTATACCATCCCAGGGGAAAACGTCTTAGCCTGCGATCGCAGACGTATTTCGGGTCGTCGCCTCTCTATTTTTCGGAGGGCAGGAAGCGACGATCGCGACCAGAAATACGTCTGCGGTTGCAGGCTAGAAAACTTAAGGATTACTCGTGTACTCTACAGCGGCTGTCAGTGTATTGGGTAAAAATAACGAACGACTGTTAACTTTCTCATCACTCCTTTTCGGCATTTTTTTTTAATAAGCATAGTAACCTTAGTTTTTCAGACATTTTTTTCTTACCATGTGCATCACATTTATCGCATCAATTTAAAGGACCCAGAATCCTACTGTAACGATCACCGGTTTGTCTGAATAAAACAAACAAATTTATATCACATAGAAAGTACTTCAGTTAATTAAAGTTTGAAGAAATGATTCTGAATGATAAACCACTGATCCTGTGTGCAGAACTTCGCGCTAACGAGATGTATGCATGCCCTTCAACACAGACGTAACACTAAAGTGGTCGCAAGCCCAGACGTTAGAAGCGGCGCAGTTTTTATTCTAAATCAATGACTGGAAATCATTGTTTCACGTGCAAGAGTATGAAATATAATTAATAATAACTGTATTCTGTTCTTTGGAAATCCCCACGAAAACATTAGCTTACAGTTGAAGTTAGGCCTGAGTCTTGGATCGTAGTGAGGCTTTGTAAACAGTAAGTCTAATCGTTCGGTCAATGTCATGTTGGGCCCCTGCTGCTGTTTACTGAGGAATACAAAGCAAATAAACAAAAGATGATTGCAAAACTAAACAGTTGTTTTTTTTAAGGTTTTTTACATACCTATGAAGCTTGCATACCTCCAAACCCGTTCTCAGCAATAGGAGAGGGCCCTGGAAACGAGGTGCTCGCTGTGCTGTCACAGTACAGCTACCGTTCCTTAGAATGAAGAGACCCCCTGTCTTTCTTTGAAGACGCTGGGTGATCTTGTTATGCAGAGTTTCGTGTCAACTGAGGTTTGCGTTTCGTACTCCCTTATTTTTCCCAAGTGCATGTTATACAATTTTGACACCGTCAACTTAGTTACACTCCCATAATAACGCGATAAACTGACCTAAACTGGAGAACACTGATTTCTAGTGATAGCGAGTCTCGCATATACATATAGGCATGAAATATTAAAGATGATATAGTAAAAGTATATAAGAAAGCCTTGGATAGCATTTGAAGACTCTTAGGTCCTTCCCTGCTAGCAGAGGTCTCTCACGACGAGGCCTCGTGGTGAGAGACCTCTGCGAGCAGGGAACTTAGGTCTCGTTCTGATATGGTTGAATATGGCGAAAACCTGTTAGAGTCCGTCCGAAGATCAGCTGAAATAGTGAGGTTTAAGACTTACCTTGAAACCTCTTGAAACATTTTGACGGTTGAAACTAATTTGCATTTTTGACTGTTGATGGTTAAATTTTGGGCCGTTTGACGGCTGACGGTTAACCCCATTGAGACCCTCTTGTCAGCTCCACGAGGCCATGATAAAGACGGCTACTGGGAACGTATAGGGTGTTCCACCGAAAGGCCGAGCCGCTCTATGTTCTCTTGCTGTAATCCAATACTTTAACGTTATCTTTGAGGATTTTTTTTGCTCGCAGTGAAAATAGTTATATAATTAAATGACTTTGCAAATTTTTTGTTTTAACTGGATAGTGAGGAAAACTAATTTAAACCAGAGTCGATACAATATAGCCTGCGAACAGCAGACGCGAAGCGACGACCGGAAATGCGTTTGCTGTTCGCAGGCTAATACAATAGGACTTGTTATTTAATAGGCCACTTGCACTAGAGGTCACGTGACCAATGCTTCCTTTTAAACAATGAGTTGGAATCGTGCTGATGCCAAAAATTGACGGAGCGCATAAAAATGATCTTACACCCGCAATTTGAGAGGAAACGCATTTAAGGGAGATATTTTATGGCACTTTGATTTTCCAACAAAGTAGTATGATTTGTATTGGCCGCCATTTTGGAGGGTATACTCTTGTCCTCCAACATGGTGGCCAAAACTACTTTTTGCTTGTATCTTGTTAAACGTTTGATATTTACGATCAGATTTGCTGAAAACGTTACCACGTCATCTTTTCAACAATTTCCTTGAAGTTTAAGCGCGAAATTTCTGTTCGGAAAGAGGTAATTCGTAGTTTTAAAAAAATCACATTTTGTCACGTGACCAGCTACGAACTTACTCATTTGAAGAAAATGGTGAGGGGTTTGAAAAACTAAATCACTATTATTTTGACCCACTAATGGTTTTTTGAAGGCAAAATCATATAACTTTCACTTTCATACAAATGATGTCACATGATCTTTTAGTGCAAATGGCCTATTCTTATGATTTACGGCCCTGATGATTTCAACCATCTTTCCCTGTACAATGTCAAAAGTGCTTGATCGTTTTTTATCTGTGAGACAAGCATTTCTGGTATCCGTTTGTCTGAATTAGTGCCAAGCATCGAATCATTATATCACCGTGATCCTCGCTCTCGGACTGTGGAACTCATATATATAAACGTCAGTATAAAATTCAGTGAAAGGGGCGCGAACCAAAACAAAGCAATCGAAAGGAAAGAGTCAAGTAACTTGGGACAATAAAACTCAAGAACAAATCCAAACTGCGATTGAAAAATTAGTACTGAAAAACAAAAAAAGAGTAAGTGCTGCAGTTAAAGATTCTTTTAGAATAGTTAAATCAAGTCAGTCAATTTTGTTCTCATCGTCAATGGTAAGTACATAACATCTGTATAGTAAAACAGTGAGAATGAAAGGCAGGTCATACCTTGCCTGTATCTGATCGAAAAATTTCACTGACATGAGAAGAAAAAGAGTCGAGCAAATTTTGTCCATGGTTTGAATAATATTCCCAGCTGCTGAAAACATTGGCAATGCATCACAAATTATGTCTGAACTCTTCTTATTCAAGATGGGTCATTAAAACTAACATAATCAATTATTAACTTCTTTCTTTCAAACTCTTAAGGTTAAGGACCTGATGATCAGAAAACAGCATGCTTGATATCTTTGTTTTCTGCAATCATCGCTTTTGAATCTCAATGAGACTTCAGAGCTGATCGCACTCGAGACAAAGCCGAGGTAGGTAATTCCGATTAGAGCACTCATTAGCAGTTACAAAACAAGATAAAAAGTAATTAATATCAGCTATCATGTCCTATATGGTGAGACAAAAATCACCTAAATTAGACGCTTCTGTTGTCCTAATTTTAATTTATAAGAATACAATATTAATCACAACAAAATTTTAGTCAGGTCGTAATATTTTATACTTCCACATAGATTGCTCCCGCCCAACAACTTCAATTCAGTGCTGCTTTTGCCACAAAAATTGGGTATTTGACGCTCGAGCGCATATAGCCACCTTTGCAGAAACTAAACAGATTAAATGGATGTTTTTCTCGCTCGGCAGAAATTACGCTTTTCATCAGTAATCGGCAGTGATCCGATCATGCATTGAGAACACTATACGTAGGTAGTTGTTGCCAAGACTCTATGTAAGTGAGGACAGAAGATAACTCACTTTATATCCTGAACTTTATTGATTTGATTCTGTATCTTTTACAATTCTAAAACAAATCCTTACAAAAAAACTGCCCTCAATCATATCAGGACAGTTATTTTTTATTATAAGCGCCACCCCGTCCCCGGCACCCCGCCCACAGTATTTCTTTCACTTGCTCGAGTTTCGCGGTACACGAGAAAAATTCTGCATGAATAAGGTCCTCGGTGAGCATGCGCCGCATGTTGCCAGCATAGAGAAATAGAGCAGTCAATAGAGCAGGGAATAGAGTTTCGAACCTGTGAATGCCGCTGTTTGTTACAGCGGGCTCAGTTCTAGAAAAGCCAGTATGAGTCAAGAGTTCGGGATTCATTGAATCGAACCAATTGGCTTTTAGGGTTATCAAGATTAAGTGACTTCAAGGGCTTGACACGATTTAGGTAGAGCCTCTTTTTATCCTCGATCAAACAAAGGAAGGCTCTCCTCGCAGGGCAAAAAGGGTAAGCACTATAATATTCTAAAAAAGTGTTTTTGATAATTTTCTTTAACAAGGAAATATCAACCAAAACAAAGCCTTATTACTAGTAGCATGTTGATGCAGCAAAAAAATTTTCTTTTTTACTTTGAGTCATTTTCTTTTTCTTAACTAGAACTTTCAATTAGGAAGGAAAACGCTCAGATAAAGGGCGCATAAACATCGCAACATACTCTTCCGCCATTATCGGTTTCATAGAAATCCCACAAATCTTGGGTATACCACACACGCAACTGTTGACCCAAAGAGACCCAGTGAGGATGAGAGAAAACTGAAAAGACAAGCTCTGGGGACCATGAATTATATGCCTTAATCCTGAATTCTTTGCTATTATCCTTAAACTGTTTTGGTGGGAAGAGGACGCGGTTGGTTGAAGTCGTCACGGCAACGAAAAGTGGATCTCCACCACAGCCACAGTAAGACCATCTGTTGGCTTCATTCGCTCTACAGGACACGTAACCGTACAGATGAACCAGCTTTATGGCGGCTAATCTGCCACTAGATGGCATGAGAAACCTTCCGAACTGATGATTTCTGGCGCCAAAACACACTGGAGAGGAATTTACCTTACGCCAGCGACCTAAAAATTAAACAATAAAATTAATGAAATTAAAATAATTTTACTACACTTACGAGGGTAAATACGCGGGCACGGAAGTTTAGATACTGTATGTTCAACAATACGCTACATCGACAACTTTTTTTGACGGTTTTTATCTGGAATTTCCTTCTTCTCATTGCCCAGTGGGATAGCTAGCTATTAATACCACAGGGTCCAGAGGAGTTTCGTGTGAATAAATGAATTACTTACCTTGAGAAATGTCTATACCTGTCGCTTGGCACGATTAATTAGCCCAATGGGATCTTTATAAATCTACTGTAAACGATTTCTTCGCTTCTTATCTGACCCAGATCGACTTTTGAAAATCAATAACCGCAAGCCATATCCTCGCTGGCGCACGGCACGTCGCCCGAAGGGTGACCGAAGGTCGTCGCCCGAAGCACGATTACTGTAAGCCGATCTTGCGAGCCCTCAGTCTCTTGGTTTGCGGTCTATAGAATGTGTAACGAAACCGTAACGCGATCAAAATAACCTGTTTTTTCAGAGGTTTTCGACGGGTTTTGATGTTCTAACGACAAACACATCTCCTCTGGACCCTGTGTTAATACAACGTTTTGACTGTTGCCCTATCATCCTAACGATGAATCACGGAACTAAATGTTTTACGGCGCTCTGCACTGGTTAATTGTTATTCTCCTAGTCAGTTGTTAAAACAGCCACTGAACAAGCGCTGTTAAAGTAGACTTAAAATAGCGATTTAGTTTAACTTTTTTAAAATTATAATTTGTATTGTTGTGGCAAAATTTGCCAGCCCAAGTTTTCTCTCACTAGCACCCACCCTCGACTTCAACCAAATTTTGAGATATGAAGATATTATTGACTCCATGCATTTGATGACTTTTAAATTTAGCTCACTTTAAGAACAAACCTGTACAACTATTGATTTGTCCTCTCTTTTTTCGGGATAGAAAGCGATCTTGAGCGTCCAGAGAATCTAAATTTCGGCTGCCAAGCGAAGCTGTGTCATGAGTCGTGTCAGCTTGATTAAATTCTGGAGTTTCTTCAGCCAAAGGCGCCAGAACGCCGAGAGAAAAAGCGAAAACGAGGACAAATACTGACTTCATCGTGATTTGATCAGTTACTGAAGACTAAGGACGACTCTAGACTCGACTCACTTACGTTCATGTGCGATTGCAGATCGATCGTGAGGCAAACTCTTAGCCAAGGTTGGGCATTTTTGTAGACGCATGCCTGTCAGTATGCGAGTCTTTTTTGTTCATGAAAAAACGAGATACGTAGGTCCTTCTATTTTTCAATGATGCTTTCATTGTAGTTATTAGATGGACCTCTTCCGGTGTCCACTTTTTCGAACCCCAAAGTCTTCATTTGAAACGTCGCACTGGATGACGTCTGAAAGGTTGTAAAGCATCGGGAACAAATGGAAAATTTTTGGATGACGTCTGAAAAGTTGTAAAGCATCGGGAACAAATGCAAAATTTTTAAAGAAAATAATTCAACTGAAGACATTGATTGTTTCATAATAAGTGGCCACGTGTTAAATGTGAAAATGTTATAATCGCATGATACTGAAGCGAGCGACTCTGGCGACTTAGCCAAGGGATTTAAAGATTTAGAATTATCGTGCTGCTTGAAGTTGGATCTAAAAAGGCATGTCAAGATTTTTAAAGTGGGAGAGAAGTTTCACTCGATTCATCTGATTCGTGGCCCATCGATCTCAACTCGTTTTCACCAGCTAAGCCGTCAGGGACGACATAATAGTGGCGGTTTTTATTATTAAGGCTACAGAATATATTTAGATTGACAATCGAGTTCAGCTTTTAATTTTTTTTTGCCAAATTGCATGAAAAATCTCTGACGTTCGTTCATCTGAATAAAATTACTGACAAAGAGTAAATAATGACGGGAAATGGCGTTTAATGTTTTGAGCGGAAGTATAATAAATTACCAGTTTACCTGATTAGTTTATGATGGGTTTTCTCGAAAAAAACGAATTTTCAGTTACTCGAACTCAAGAAGACACTTAAAATCGAATGAAAACTTTGAGATCAGGAATGAATTTCTTCGATGAGTGATCTCAAAATCAGAGGGATAATATTACCTAACTTAAAATGTAAACAATCGCACATGTAACAGCAACGTTTCAGCGAATTTTTATTCGTCGAAACCTCTTTTGAGGGCATGCGTGCATGTACACGATCACCCAGCTTTTAATCCCTGTTTCTATTTGTTTTTTCGCCTTTTCATCGCAAACGACTATGGCAAAAGACACTCGTTTTCTAAGCGCCTTCAACCCGAAAGTTTCTTTGATCTCATCGTCAAATCACGGATGCCGGAGGGGGCTTTAGCCGACCTTTCTCATAACAACGTCAACAATACAAGTTTTTGATCGATTCAGGGACATTTCTATTATCCATAAGCCTAAACTAATTTAAGTGACAAACATTATTATCTTTGTGTGGAATTCGTAGATTCCAGAATAAAGGTTTGGGGAAAACGGCGCAAAGAAAAATGAAGAATGAAAAGAAAAATTTAAGACTGAAAAAAAACTCAGCCCTGAAAAACTCTATGAATGAAGACTAGGCAATACCTTGCTGGTGTCTGACCCATAAATTTCACTAACATAATAAGAAAAAAGCCGCGCTAATTTTGTCTTTCGTTTGAATTCCCAGCCGTTAATATACAGATTTAGCCACGGCTAAAAGCGAAGCTCCCATTGATAAATTTATAACTTAAATCAAACAATAGTTTTGTATTCCACAAATCAGTTAACTTAAGGGCACATTCATGTGACTTTTGCGGGAAAAGCTAAGTGATTTTGGAGTGAGACAAATCTTGTATCTAGTTGATATAGCCTTATATGCACACCCAAAAAATAGTCTTCGGTCACATGTAAGAGCAATAATGGCTCTTGATCACAGTAGATAAGGCGTGGAAAGAAAATTCTTGGAAAACAAATCAGGCCGAATTTTTTGCGTTCGACAAGTTTACAAATTCTTGCCAATAAATCTGGGTGCGTGCAAACCAATCTTTTATTTTTTTTATACACCACATCTGAGGAGAAAGAGTACTATGAGGCGCTGTTTTTATCATACAGACCTCGTACAAAATGCAGTATTTCACAATTTTTCAAGACAAATTGCATTCATTCAGTATTCAGGACCATCGAAGAACGCGTGGACTTTTAATTAGCGAAACCGTTCAAAAAATTTCCAAAATCACCTATACGGCCAGCCGGCTCCAACTTTTGACAAGCGCCAAATTTGCGAAGAAATTTTAAAAGAGTTACGCTTCAACGTGATAAAGAATTTATTGAGTCTATTTTTTATTAATGGTTTTATAACAATGCGTAATTAATCTTAAAAAGCGTTTGTTACGCTCGGCATTTTGAGTACTCCTGCAAGCGATGTTTATGAACGGCTGAAAACAAACGGCAAAGCGATTACACTTTTGAGACTACCAACAATCAATAAAGAAATATAATTCTGTAGAACATTTACAGAGACAACAATTTTCATTCACGAAAACAAATGAGTATTTAAGTGTGTCTAAGAATTCTCAAGTCTTTACTAGTAAACTTAGAGATTAAGTTTATGTTTTAAGCCGCCGGTTTCCCGGTTTTTTGATGTTTTCAAAGATGAACTCACGACAAGAAAATCGCTCAAAGCTTTCTTTCTACAGCCAAAATTATAACTAAATATTCTTCGGAAAGTTTTTTCTTTCTATTTACGGTGAACTAATATCGACTTAAGGCTTTTTAAAGTTCTATAATATAAGCTTAAGCTTATTTCAAATTAAACCTCATACTAGGTCAGATCAGTGTCTCAGTCAAATCTTAATACAAACGTGCATAAACTAGCTTCATAAACTGCGCCGGTGGACTTCATGAAACTAGATATAAATACAATAATTACTCAGGCTTACCATATTTCGTGATGCAGCTCCCGAAAGCTATCAAGTAAGGCAAGGATCGCTTGAGCCTTTATAATTCTCGTACGCATCCAGCAAGGTGTAAAACAAAAACGATGCCATCCGAAATCGGATTATCGGCTTTGACAAGCGACGCATTTCACGACCAAAAACTCAATAAACAAACCAGCCATGAATAAGAGAACACTCTTGATAGCAGCTGTATTTCATTTTGTACATCCAGTGGAAAAAGACAGTTAAAACCATCACAAGTTGACTCAAAACTCTGTTAGCTTCAGCTGTCAAAGTAAACAACTTTCAAGATGCTGCATAAATTTTACGCATGAACTCACCTTTCAAATTTTAACCAATCAGAGCATAAAAATTGGGTTTAGAGCGTGGCTAACGCGTGACCATGGTAAGAAAAGGTCTTCCCCGCCTGTATTTTTAAATAATTGGCTGAATTTTCGTGTCCGAGGTAAGTTTGAAGTCAAAATCTTAATAGTGCTGGGCCATAGTGACATAAACACGACATATTTCATATAAATTTTTAAAACACAAACTTGAGCCAGCGATCATTTGAAAAGTAGTAACTTGTCAGTCGATAACTTAAAAAAAATACTCGACCTCGATGGATCGACACCTGAGCCCGCGATACCGTCAGGTGATACTGGTCAGCGGATACCCTGTTTTGACAGCTGTCAATTGATCACTGCATTGATGTGCAATCAATTTTCTCCTGGGCTCCGAAACTAGCTAGAAAGTGCGAGAGTAAACATTGGTACGCCTGTGGTGCGGACGGACGGTCGTTCGTTCGGTGTACGGTCGCGTGACAACCAAATTTTCTGGGATGGGTAGATTTACTTAGCTATGGGGCTTCGCCCACGCGCGCGTGGAGCTCCGCTATAAAAAGCACTGGATAATGCATCACAAATTAACCTTTCTTGTCAGTATGGTTCATAAAAACTAAAAATGATGAATTATCAGCTTTGTCTCTTTGATATAACTCTCCGCGCGGTTAAGCCGGACTAATGAATGATCATAAGAAAAAAGCTTGCTATATTTATGTCATACGCCTTTGTTTTGCGATCATCGCTCTCAGCTGAATCTCAATCAGACATCCAGATTGATGGGTATTAAAACAAATTCAGTGACATGTATTTTCTTTTAGAACAGTTTCATTAACTCTGATTAATGTTTACTCAACAAAAAAAAAATTAGTTAATATGTTATTACATTTGATATAATAGAGCGATTTTTGCATGACCTTGAAAAATGGTTTCGGTACGTGTTCGTTATTTGTTTCATCAGCCAATGGAAACATGTACTCTTCGTTTTCCCGCCAAAGAAAACCCTAATATGGAGAAGGCATAGTTCGATTGGTCAATGGTGTCGCAGTATGACGTCAAAGCGAAGTATCGATTGATTTCTAGAAATTTCTTGGGAGTTTTTTCATCCGAGCGTCCGCTTAACCAACTAAAAGCCACGCGCGTTTGTATTCGTTCGACAAACCAATCAAATCGCTCTATTTCCGTTCGTTTGTTGTTTCTGTTTCGTTCTCGGGTTTTCATTTCAAGGTCATACGAAAATCGCTCTAAGACAAAAATCAAATAAATTGGACATTTCTATTGTCTTAATTAGAATCATCTACAAGAGTGAAATATTAATCACAACAAATTTGAGTCATGAACGCCTTGCTTAGAATCTCAAGTAATGATTATTTTAGTATCTCCAGTAATGATAATTTGACTTAAATTGTATTCTTGAGCTGAATTTTCTTTAGCGAGAACCGCAAATCAAAACACAACCTTACTACCATGTTCACCATATTACAGTGTATTCGAAGCTCCAACAATCAACAACAAAGCAGCCGTCACTTATTACAAGAAATTTTTATGTAAATGGCCGTATTTATACTAGAAGACGTCTAAGACGTCCAGACGCATTAAACGTCGGACTGTTAAGTACTTCGTTAAGTGCGTTCCGTTTTTATACTAGACGTCTTAAACGTCTGAGACGACTAATTCATCTGTTATGTGCGTCGACCGGACGCACTTAACATCAGACGTTTTATTCGTCTGACGTTTAAAGCGTCTGCCTTATTTCCCGTATTTATACTAAACGTCTAAGTCGTCTAAGACGTTTAAGTCTTAGACGTCCTCTAGGATAAATACGGCTATTTAATACTGGGAAATTTTTGAAATAAATTCTCAGGTTTTCATTAAAATTTAAAAAGTTAAAAAGTCTCTTGTTCTCAATTGACGCAGGTTACCATTG